ATTCAATAGGTTATATGAATGGAAATATTACAATGAACAAGGGAAATTGTCTAAAACTCGCCATGAGTTTTCAGCATTTCTCTTAAATTCACCACAACTTTTCAAAATGTCTAAAACTCACCATGTCACTAACATGACATTAAATAGACCAACGGGTGTTAATATATTACCATTTTAACCTTCATAGAAAAATAAAATATATACAAAATAAATTAATGGGTGTTAATATATTACCATTTTAATATTTAGACAAAAAAGAAAAATTTTCAAAAAATATTTTCAAATATAAAATACATAAAAATATAGAAATTACAAAAATATAAAAAATTATAAAAATTGCAAACAAAATAAAAAAAATTATTTTCAAATTATAGAAACTATAGTAATTGAAAAACAAAATCAGAAAATGAAAAAATTATAGAAAAAACACCAAAAATTATAGAAAAACATAGAAATTTCAAATAAATAACAAAAAAAATACAAGAAAATTTATAGATTGTGGAAAATAAAAAATGTAAAAAAACAGAAATTATAAAAAATATTGGAAATTATAACAAAACACTAAAAAAATAAAAAAACAAGAAAATTGAAAACTGAAAAGGCCCATTTTTCCTCTAACTCACCATTCAAGGGTAATTTGGTCATGAAATCATTATTTATGCTGACATGGACACCTTTGTTAAGAAGCATTAACGGTGCACTAACGGAAGGTGAGTTTTGGAAAATAAAAACTTACTTACATGGTGAGTTTTAGACATTTTGAAAAGTTGTGGTGAATTTAAGAGAAATGTTGAAAACTCATGGTGAGTTTTAGACAATTCTAGAACATTCAAACATTGTACAATAATTATCACTCTTTTAATTTTATAATTATAATTTTCAATTTTTATTAATTTTTGGGAATATTTATTAATTTAGTATTCTATTTAAATAACAACTATTTTTAAATAATAAACATGTTTTCATTTTTAACATATAATGTTGTTATTTTACACATAATTGTAAAATAAAACAAATAAATCATTTAAGGTAGATAAAATAAATTATATTTAATTTTCAGTTTTTATTAAATTTTTTGGGAAAATGAAATCTTAAATTATTTGTTTCAGTTTTTATAATTATAATTTTCTGTTTCCCATTAATTTTATTGGAAAAATTTATTTATTTTGTATTTTTATAATAATAACTCTATTTTTCAAAATAACTATGTTTTCATTTTTAATATATAATTATGTGTAAAATAACATATATAAATCATCTAAGGTAGATGAAATATATTATTTTATAATTTTTAGTTTTTATTAATTTTTTTGAAAAAAATAAATCTTAAATTATTTATTTTAGTTTTTGAATACTATTTTTTTTAACTTGTATTAAAAATGAAAAACAATCCAAAAGTACTCAATGTACAATTTTGTCAAACTAGACACGGATACACTTCCATATCGATGTGTATCGGATTGCATCCACTGATGTGGTGCAATACGGCCTGATACGGAGGCATATCGTACCAATATGCATGACTCGTAGGATAGGTATCCAGTAGACCTGGCAATTGGGTTGGGTGGGTCGGGTTTGGGTTGGGTCAAGGTACTTCGGGTTGATTTCGGATCAGGTTGAATTTCGGGTTGGGTTATCGAATGCTAGACCCTAACCCTAAATGTTTGGGTTAGGGTTGACCCATGGGTCAATTCGGGTCATCCCAAAAAATAATTGAAATTAAAAAAAATAAAAAAAAATACATGAAATATGTTAAAATTAAAAGAATTAACCTTAAAATTCCAAATATAAACTAAAAAGCTTCAACATTTAACAATTTAATGAGTAAACAATAAAAAGTAAAGACTAAATAGAAAAAATTAAAGAGTGGAAACTTCTAACAATGCATAAATAATCCCAATTAGATTTGATAATCGGGTCAACGGGTTGACCCATGACCCAACTCAACCCAACCCAATTTTTTTTTGGGTTGGGTCGGGTCGGGTCATTTTCACATTCGGGTAGCTAAATATGAAACCCTAACCCTGTTTTTCGGGTTGGGTTGGGTCAACTTTTTGCCAGGTTTAGTATCCAGTTAGTATATCTTGTATCCATGATCATGGATATGGATATGATATGCCACGTATCGGGAGTATCGTATCAATACCTTAATCCTTAGTGTCAAGTTAGTACCCAAACTTTCAAACGTGTCACTGTAGTACCTAAACTTTCAAAAAGTGTCAAGTTGGTCCCTATCGTTAACCGACCGTCAGTTATCTATTGAAAATGTCAAAACTACCCTTCAAAAGAAGACATTGTTCATTGTTTTCTACCTTGAGACTGAACCGGTTGAGGTGTTTGAGATTCTAGATTAATGAAGTCATTGTTTTCTACCTTTAGATCTAAAACACATTCTTGTCTAGTTATTTCTTTGCTTCCAGTTATTGTTTCCCTTTATTATATTTCATGCTTTTTCTCACTTTTTATTTGATGATAACTCATTTAGTCTCAAGGTAGAAGACAATGAATAGTGTCTTCTTTCGAAGGGTAGTTTTGACATTTTCAATAGATAACTGATGGTCAGTTAATGGCAGGGACCAACTTAACACTTTTTGAAAGTTTAGGTACTGTAGTGACACGTTTGAAAGTTCGGGTACTAACTTGACACTACCTCCAAAGTTAAGGGTACTGAAGTAGAATTTTCCCTAAAATAAGATGCCTTGGAAAACCCAAATCTTTCTATCTCTCTCTCTCTAATAGTGTACAGTTTTATTGATCCAATCAAAATAGACAATGATTACTTTTTTATATTTTTTAAAACAAAGGAAAATAGAAAAGAATACAAAAAATGGAGAAAATAGATAAATAACTTCTCTCAAAAGAGATGCATGCTGGCATGGCATGTCTAATTTTATTATATATATAGATTTGTAAAAAATATTCACCCTGCCTCATAATTGGTTCAGTTTTAGTTTTAGGTCTATGTTAATGTGTTATAGTTATAGAGCCAATTAATAAAATAATCGTTTGGAACTGGGCTACCCTATCCCGAACCAGACCCGATCCATCGTGGTTTCTGGGTTGGCTCAAACATATATATTAAAATTGGATTGTCCATGTCAGTCCAAAAAAAAAAGTTTGATTGTTTGAACCGAACGAACAACCCATTCTAACAAAAAAAAAAAAAAAAAAATGGTCAAAACCATTGGACAGTTCAAACGGTTTGACCAACCAGGTCAACGGTTTGTTAACCAAATCAACGGTTTTTGGCGAAGTAATGGTTTTAGGGTAAAACAAAACCTGTCACCTAATCGATTCCCAGTTTTTCCGTTCAAATTTGAAAACCATGATATAAATCAAATAATATAAATAGGTTGAGGTTAAACAATTAAAAAATTATTAATTTAAAAATCCACTAAACCTTCACTAAAAATAAATATTAACAAAGCTTAGTAAATAGTAAAAATGTGTTTCAATTCCACTTAAAAATCAACTTAATAAATGCTAAAAAAATACGAAAATTAAATATAAAAGTATTAATTGATAGTTTTGATAATATTATTAGATAACTTATGAGTTGAGACCTTGATAAAGACTAATAAAAAAATATTAATTGGTAGTTTTAAAATACCAACAATTAATTACAAATCAGAAACATTTTGAAAAACCTAAACATAATTAAAATACTAAAAATAGTTAAAAAATATTGAAAATTAACAATATTTTATATTAATAAGGGTATTTACTGAAAATAATTAAAAAGTACAATTAATAGTATTCTATTATTAAAAATACCCAAGCCAAAAATTAATGAAAATTAGTTGTATTTTTTATTAACTATGGTATGTATTTAGTTATTTAATTTATTTTTACTAGAAGCAAATGCAAATTAATTTTGTAGTGGCTAATATGCAAAAATAAACGATGAAAATACTAAAAAATATTGAAAAAAATACTCATATGCAAAATTCGAAAATTCTGAAAAACCTAAAGCTTAATTAAAATACTAAAACCTAGATCTTGAGCCTGAGCCCAACCCTTATATAAGTTCCGAAGCTTGAGCCCGAGCCCGAAGCCTGATCTGTATACAAAATGTCTTATTTTCAGTATACTTTTATAAATTAATATTATATTAATTTAATAAATTAATAAACTAATTTATATTTTCTAATAGTAAATTGATATTTATTTGAGAAAGTCCAAGCTCGAGCCCATGAGCTTGAAATTTTGTCCAAGCTTGAAAAATAATAGGTCAGGTTGGGCGGGGCCATTATGCTACCTAGCCCATGAATAGATCTAATTGTATATACAAACAATTGTATACATAAAAATCATATGAAATAAAAATTTAAACATCTTTTTCATTTTTTTTTTAAATGGACTTCTCATAGCTTGGCCTGGTCCGTGGCTTGGCTTAGTCCAGCACAACCTGATTTACACCTCTACTTGAACCTACCTAATACTGGGGATAAGGCGAGGAAATTCGAGGATTCCCCATCCTTGATGAGGATTGGAGTGCCTTGCCCCTGAACTCGATCGACGTTGAGGAGTGGTTGCCTTGCCTTGAACCCACCTGACACTAGGGACGGGGTGGGGATGGGGTAGAGTGTGTTGACTATGGGTAGGGATAGGGATGGGTGCCCCACTCTGAATCCACCCGTTGTTATTCCTATATAATTGTTAATTATTAGTGAAATTAATAAAAATGTTAGTTTTTATAATTATTTTTATTTATTTAAAATTAATCAAAATTTCATTTAAAAATAATAAAATAATAATAATTATTAAAATTATTATAAATTATTAATAAAACTAAATTTATTAAAAACTATTTATTCATATTAAATTAACAATTATTATTTTTATAAATTAATATTAAATAAAAATATAACTATTAAAATTTTAGATATTAACAATAATTTTTTTTAGTTAATTAACAACAAATTTTAATTATTAATTTAATATTAATTAACAATAAATAAAATTATTAAATCATTCAGATTGCACGAATCCCTGCTAGCAATAAAGATGAGGATGACATATCCACCACCAGCAGCAGGCAGCAGCTGTATCGGTATCGCCTGTCGTCTCCGAGCCCGAGATCATCAAATCAACGAAACAGGCAAAACCAGAAACGAAATTGATGCCGGTCTTCAAAACCCCTTTTAATGGCTATGCCGTTAAGTTCAGCCCCTTCTACGAGAACCGCCTCGCCGTCGCCACCTCGCAGAACTTCGGCATCCTCGGCAATGGGCGCGTCCACGTTCTCGACCTCACACCTGCTGGCCCCATCGCCGAGTTCTGCGCCTTCGAAACCGCTGATGGCGTCTACGACTGTACCTGGTCCGAGGACAACGACAACCTACTCGTCACAGCCGTCGCCGATGGCTCCGTCAAGCTCTGGGACCTCGCTCTTCCACCCACCGCCAACCCTATTCGCTCCCTCCATGAACATTCCCGCGAAGTCCACTCCGTCGACTGGAACCCTGTCCGTCGCGACTCCTTCTTGACCTCATCCTGGGACGACACTGTCAAGCTCTGGACCGTTGACCGCCCTGCCAGTGTTCGCACCTTTAAAGAACACGCCTACTGTGTGTACTCCTCCGTCTGGAACCCTCGCCACGCCGACGTATTCGCCTCTGCCTCCGGCGACTGCACAGTCCGCATCTGGGACGTCCGGGAGCCGGCCTCGACCATGATACTCCCCGCCCACGAGTTCGAGATTCTCTCCTGCGATTGGAACAAGTACGACGATTGCGTAATTGCCACCGCCTCTGTCGACAAGTCTATCAAGGTTTGGGATGTGAGGAGTTTCCGTGTTCCAATCTCCGTGCTTCAAGGGCACACTTATGCCGTCCGGAGGGTGAAGTTTTCGCCGCACCGGGACAGCCTGATTGCTTCCTGCTCGTATGACATGACAGTCTGCTTGTGGGATTACCGGGTGGAAGACGCGCTTGTTGGGAGGTACGATCATCACACTGAGTTTGCGGTGGGCGTCGACATGAGCGTTCTTGTGGAGGGGCTTTTGGCGACCACCGGCTGGGATGAGCTTGTTTATGTTTGGCAGCACGGAACTGACCCAAGAGCGCCTTGAAGGGAGAATCCTCTTTTCCTTCTGTTGTTGTTAGAAGAAAAGCGGAAATGAGCAGAAGTAGCAGCTGCAAACAAGAAGGGTAACTGCAATACTTGTTGGAAATTGGGGAGTCTTATCGGGTATGTTGTATGTTATTCTCTTGCAGAATAATTGGGATTTTTGGTTGTTCAGGGATATTGATGAACAAATAACTGAATGATTGATTTGTATGATACTCCCCCCAGTATATTGAATTGCAATAAAAATGAGTTTTCTTCTTTCTTTTTATCATCCCCATATTCCATCTATAATGTGAACTCTGCAATTGATTAATATTTGCTTCCAGGCATCTAAATGAATTTGTTTTGATTTGAAAGACAGTTTGCAGCTTGTTTGTGGTAGTCTGAACAAGGAAGGATTCTAATGGAATCAAGCCTTTTCACTTTGATAGGATTGTTGGAACTTTTTGGGATTTTATTCTGTTTTCAAGGACCACTGGAATGAGACATATGTCCCTGTGGGGATTTGTTATAGGGAGTTGGCATATTCGAATGGCCATCTGAATTTGAAGAGAATTACACAACTATCGACTATTTGTTGGACTGGCCATGTGGACCTATTGGACTTTTGATTTTGGTATTTTTTGATTCAGTGATGGAAAATTGTTGAGTTGAATGGTCTGGATTGAATAAGAGTCTTAGATAGTAACTGTTGGGTCATAGAGATGATTATTATGGTTAACTTAGTATGGACATGAACTGTAATAAGTCTGCATTTGGCATTCCTTGTTTTAAGGACTTATCTTCTTTTTGAAGTTAAAAATTCAGGTTCATAAAGGTATTTTAACTGCAAAAGGAGATAAGTTCTTAAAATAAGGAATGCCAGATGATGCTTTAAGTGGCATTAAGTGGAATTAAGTGGATTAAAATAAATCCATAAGATTACCTGTTGGCACTTCAAATCAGCACCATTCTTTTATGTGAATGTGAACTTATATTTAAAGGGCAAGCCAGTTTTTGAAGAAAGATGAACAATTGAGGGCATCCAAATTCAAGAGGAAGTTGGCTCCAGATTGACAATGCCCATCAGCCTTGTCAGGCCTTTCAAATTATTTTCTTATTTGTTTTATTTTTTGGGGCATCTAGAAAGAGAGGTTAAGAAATCCATATCTCTGCCAAGTAGTGCAAACTTGTTGAGAAACTTCCAAGTCCAGGCTAGGTTGAATTTCAGTAATAGTGCTGCTATATCCCTTGCACAAGTAGGGGCTTCAACCATCCTGGAGATGAGTTCTATTTACTTATTTTCCCTTTTGTGGTTCCAGTATGATATACTGTGATATACTGTTAAATCTTGTGTTCCTATTTGATATATTTTAATATTATCATTAGGTCCAACAACCATGTTGTGTCAGTGATGAATGATCATTTAGTTTTTGTGGATGTGTTGACCAAGCACCAACTAGATTTCTTCTGAACAAAGTATTGAAAAAAGCATCTGAAATTCATTTCTATTGCTAATTCACAAATTGGCACAATGACCCTTGTTTTTTATCATAGGTGTTTAGTTAATTTAACAGCAGTGTCACTCATGCCATATATTTTTGATTATTTTGTATATAACAGTACATTGACAAGTATGTTCACCAAAGTTTAAAGTTGTTAAGTCAGTATTTGCAACAACTTGGTAAAAAAATGGCTGGGTATCTAGACTAACAAGTTCGTGATGGTTGAATCATATACATGTGTATGCATGTGTGTGTGTGTGTGTGCGTTACCAATATTTCTGGCATGCAAATGACTTAATAGTTCAAGCAATGCATTGTCTCGCCTCTGTTGCCCTTTATGTGATGGCAGAATTATTTATACTCCGTATGGTCATGGATTCCATTTTATCAAGTCCCTACAGCTGCTTTCCCTCCATTTTACCTTGAAGTAATGCTAGATCATGAAGTTTTGCCTTCTGAACATGAGATCTGTTCTCCTTGGACTTGGGGGTCCTACTTTTGCCTCTTACCATAGATTATTGGAGGAGATTTGGCTAATGCTGACATTGGTATTCTAATGTGTATTGATATGGTAATGTTTCCAGTATTCAACAGATCTAATAGGTAAAAATCTACATTGAGGCATTATATTTTGTTATGGACCCGCACGTAGGATCCCGTCACGGGTCGGTCCACGGTGCGAAAGCCCTGCTTCCCCTTGCGCCTTCCCTTGCTTGCAGACCCGAT